GTAGATGCAACTACTGGAAATTATGATTACAGAGAGCTTATAAGCCTGCTTTTAAGTCTATATTTGATTGGATTTGCTAAAAGGGGAGTTAGAATTTGCCCAGATAAAATAAGCTTCTACTTTGTAGAGTATGGGGCTTTAGGTGGAAATTTGAACCCTACCAAGAGTCTTCAGAGTTGGGACATTTGCATTTGAAAATAACTTGCAGACAAACCTAGAACTGCTGGGAGAACAGGAGATTCCTGCAGAGAAAAAATCAGACAGTTTGGTGTTTTGAGTTTCAGAGGCATCAAGGCAAGGCAAGTAAGCCCATTAGAGAAAACCTCCTTCTAGAACTGAAAGTTAAAGGAAACTGACAAGTCGTATGTTTGCTGATGACCATCTATGTCTACTTGTGAGTCGAATTGGGAGAAATGCAGTAAAGAAGACACAGGCTGAGTTTGGATGTGTTCTGTTGACTCCTGTTGACCATAAAATAAGAGGAGAGGGAAGGCTGTGTGGTCTGAAGTTTAGGGAGTTGTGTGAACTCCTGAGCCCATGGGCACTGACCTAGCCCATGGAGATAAGGGCTGACAGTGAAGGATCTAGCTAGTGTGAAGTGCAGGGAGGTGTGTGTGAACTCCCAAACTTGTAGCTGGTACACATTTGACCTAGATTGGATGGCAAGGACTGAACTGACCACACCCTGACCAGAAAAGATAAAGGTGTCCAATACTCTGAGCAAATGTCAGTTGCTACAATTTGATGAACTGGACTTTTGCTTATGTATGTAGCTGCTCAGAATTCTAATTGAAATGGAAGATTCTTCATATCAAGGAGCATGCTTCTTTTCTCAGTGTACTGGGTTAACAGGGAAGGGCGATTTAGACATTGGATATAAAAAAATGTGTAAATCACCCTTCCCTATCACCTATCGTGGTGGTGGTGGTGGTGGTGGGCTCTGAAAGCATGAAGTGGCTGGCTTACAAGCTTTCATGGTTTTCCAAATGTGTCTGGGGAACGGGGTGGGGTAATGATGCTGATGTTGTTGTTGTTAAGTGCCGTTGAGTCAGATCCGACCCGTAGCAACCCTATACAGGGTTTCCGAGGAGTGACTGGTAGCTTGAACTACCGACTTTGCAGTTCAAACGGCTTTGCAGTCTGGCATGTTAACCCACAGCACCATACCAGGAATCCTGATGCTGATAGGATTTTATAATTTCAGTTGTAATTGTTAGTAGGATTAATTGTGATCGTGAAAACTGTATTTGTAGAAGATGTGTAACTAAAAGAGAACAGTAGTTATCTTTCATTTCAAGTATAGATGATCCCAGGACCATCATTAAGGAAGAACATGAGTAGAGCGTGGGATCCCTGCCTGGAAAAGTGGCTACAGCAAAGGTGACAGCAGAGGTAGTGGCATGGAAAAACAGAGCATCTATGGACTCTATGTTCATGGACTGAGTAAGTCTGTCTACCTGTAGAAAGGAGGCTGGACAGCAGAATGTGCCCTTTGGACATTTAAATGAATATATATTTTTTGTATGTGTGCATCAAATATTTTTGCTTGTTCATTTGTGACATACAAGCTATTAAATAGGGCCAATGTATTTTCAGTTGTACACATTTAGTTGGGCACAAGTATTATTTTACAAATTTCTTTATTTAGAGATTATGTATATAGTTTATAGGTTTCAAGTTGATAAGGGTGGACTATAAGGGTTAAGGTCTGGATTTCCAGAGGTTTAGAAGTTGAGATGTGCTTATTCCCATGGTGATGAAACCTAATACAGGCATAATTAACTCTATGATGATTGGCTATAAGCAATTGAAAGGATGCTTCCTGCAGGGTGTGGCCTAGACCAAATATAATGGACAAGCAGGAGAGACTTTTTCTCTCTTCCACTCTGGACCTGGGACGCTACAACTGTAAGCCATTTCCTTGATAATTAACTTTTCTCTCTCTATATATATATGTATACACCTATATATGTTTCACTGGCTTTGCTTTTCTAGAAAACATGGCCTAAGACAACTGCCAAAACACTGAGAGTCTTAGACTAGCCAAGTTGGCACATAACTTTAACCATTACAGCCAGTATTACTTTTGCCTGGAACCTAGGCATTCATTACTGCTAGACATATGTTGTTAGTCCACAAAATAGTTAGATAGTAGAGTTTTTGCTATTGTTATTGTTAAGTGCTAGCGAGTCAGTTCCAACTCATAGCAGCCCTGCATGTGGTTTCCAAACAGCAGCTCATAGGTTTGAACCACCAACCTTATGGTCCAGTGTTTTATCCTACAGTGCCACACCAGAACTCCAGTGTGAAATGCTGGATAATGAGACAGTTAATAAGTCAGGACTAGGTGTATTCAGTTTACATCAGAACTAATTTACGACTGAGTTGTTGAAATGGAACTTTATTGCAAGTTGGGGACTACTTATATACTCTTCCCTGTTTGATTTTCTGATACCCTTCTTCATTAAGAAAACAGTAGCACTGAATCTTAGGCCCTTGCTTATAAGAATATAAAGGTATATACATTGTTTCTGGAGTAAGGCATTATGTAATTCTTCCCTTGGTGGACTATTATGTCTTAATGTTGTTGTTGTTAAGTTTAGTTGAGTCACTCATAGCGACCCTGTAAAGGGTTTCTAAGGAGCAGCTGGTGGTTTTAACTGCCGACCTTGTAGTTAGAAGTCCAGTGCTTATCCTAAAATGCCATATCAGGACTCTGATGTGTCTTAATGGAAAAATGCAAATTTGATTAGTTATTACACATGACACACCTATGCTAGTCCTGGCACTCAATCAGTGTTCAAGTAATCCATACTCAGTGTTCTCTGTCACTTCTAGGACCAACCTGGCATTTCAGTAACATTGCTATGTACTTAGCTAAATTGAGGAATTATGGAGAATCAGAAAATAAACTATTTAAAGATTAGTGGGTTTTTAATATGTATTGAGTACAGGTGCTATGCTAAATAGATCAATTATATTACCTTATTTACAACCTCATAACAGCACTATAAATTCAGTGCTATTATTATTCTTTTACATATAAAGGAACTATATCTTAGAACTTACACAAATATCTTAGATCATCAGAGTTGTACACATGAAGCAAAAGAAAAACTGTGTGTCCCCGTATGTACTTACCACAATATCTTGCCATATTTTGAGCAAGAAGAAAAAGTTAATAAAAGCACTACATTTAAAAAACAAAATAAAACAAAAGCCAGCAAAAAAAGCCCAATCCTACATAAAGCCATGTGTTGCCCAATCTGTTTTCATCCTATTTTAACCCTCATAAATCTACCCACTGGGAACCTGGTTCTGAAATACCAGGAACCAAAGACTGGTTGGAAAATACTGTGTTCCTTGACCAATATAGCAGGATCTCAAACTAAACAGATGAGGACAACAGGCTGTCCTTATTTTAAATTTTGATGTTTTAAATACCACGAATTTTTTCATTTAAATTTAAATTTTAAAATATTTTATTAAAATGTTATTTATTTTTTTACTGATGTGGTTTTTAATTTTTGTGTGTATGTGTGTTCCCTTAAATTTTCTACCAAGGTGAGTGCCTTACTCACCTCATTTTAATCCTAGTCCTTAGTTACATAGCTAGTAATGGTAGGTAGAATCGATTCTTGAAAACAGGACAGCTTCTCTCCAAAATTCATGCTCTTAGCAACTTGTTTTTGAAAACAGAACAATTTCACTTCAAAACGTATGCTTTCAACAACTTTGCTATAGTCAGTATCACAAAAGTAGTAGAAGGAACAGTCTTTATCTTTTCTGCTTACTGTCTATCTGAAGAGAAGAACAAATGTACAAGAAAAAACAAATAAAAAAATATCAGGACCAACGGAAGAGAAATAAACGCATAACTAATCTGTGCACAATAGTTTGAAAAAATCATGAAATGTTGAGGACTAGGAGGGAATGTATTGAGTCATACAAAACTGCTCCTATATGTCCCTTAAAGACCTGAAGCATCCTGAAACAACTAACTGAGACTTTTTATTCAGTGTTTCCAATGCAGGAAAGAGACCTGGGTACCATTTAACTTGGTAATGCTATCCCATTCCCTGGTTGGTCCAAGTTCCTAGGAGGCAGGATCCTGTCAGAGCTGGCTGTGTTGATTATAGTATGTTACTGAGTGTGTAGAGTTCATTCAATAAATGCTGTTAACTATATTGACTGTTGCTTTCTTATCTCCGAGCTGCTTCCTATGTTCACATTTCTTTCATTTATTCTCTCTCAAGTCAGTGCTGTCAAAGCAGTATGCTTGCAAAGTTCCCCATGTCTATTTCTTTAAAGCAACCAAAATACTAATTTTTAAATCATCACTAAATGCTTGTCAACACTTCTTAGGTTAGCTAGCACTTTATTTGTAATTATGATGTAAATAATTGGGGTCAAGTTACTGTGTCTGGCTGCTAAAAACCAAAGGTTAGAGCTTCTACTTTGCCCAGAGGCACCTTGGAAGAATAGCCTGGAGATTTACTTCCAAAAAAATCAGCCTTGAAAACCCTGTGAGTACAGCTGTACTCAGACAAATCGGATCACTATGAGTGGGAGTCAACACCATGGCAACTGTGTTTTAATGTCTTCAGGTACATGTAACAGTTTTGCTTTCTGAATAGCTAGGCTTCTCATAAACAAAAGAAATCAACATTTCCTTTTTTTTTAACTTTTTCTTGTGAATTGAGTGAAAGTTTACAAAGATCATCAGTTTTACATTCAACAAATCATACACTTTGTTACATCTCAATGACTGTAATTCCCTCCCTACAAAACAGTTATCCCACTTCCTCCCTGTGGTTCCCGTTTCCATTTCACCCTCATTTCCATTCCTTCTCAACAGGTCCTCAGGTAAATGTTGCCCTTTGGACTTCTTATAGAATTATTTTGCTTCTTGATTAAATATAAAATAACACAAATGTTAAAGAATTGTATAATAAAAAGATACTATTAAGGATTGAATTTTATCATTCAAAGATCCTAACCTTTATTCTTGTGGATATAATCCAATTTGGGACTGGATTTTCTTTATTATGTTAATGAAGCCATATTAGTGTTGTTGGTAAATGCCAATGAGTTGGTTCCAACTCTTAGACACACTGTATAGCGTTTCTGAGGAGTGACTAGTGGGTTTGAGCCACCGATCTGTGGTTAGAAGTCCAGTGTTTATCCTACAGTGCCACACCAGGACCCTACTCTTACTACCCACTTGTTATCATGGGCCTAAGGCCTTGAATAGTTGTTGTTGTTGTTATGTGCCATCGAGTCGGTTCCGACCCATAGCGACTCTGAACAGGGTTTCTGAGGCTATAAATCTTTACGGGAGCAGAAAGCCTCATCTTTCTCCCATGGAGCAGCTGGTTAGTAGAATGAAAATTCCCCAAAGCTGTTTTAAAATTTACAACGTCACCTTGTTGTTTGTCTGCTGTTTTCATTTCAACTCTTCTTTACATATCCAGTTGAAATACAACCTTTCCTACAAAGCTTTTCGAGGTCAGAATAAAGCTATTTTCCCACGGTATTGCTGGGTTTTGCATTTTAGTTAAAGGTTTTTTTCATGGCAATACAATTTTGTATTCTTGTAGGGCCTACCACTCAGAACGTTGTTTTTAGTGCTGTTGAGTTCACTCAGACTTGTAGTGACCCTAAATAGGGTTTTCCAGGCATTAAATCTTCGATGGAACAGAAAATCTCATCTTTCTCTCATGGAGAGGCTAGCGGACTTGAACTACAGACCTTGTGGTCTGAAGCCCAGTGCTTATTGTATGGAGCCAATGTCTTGCCACCACTCATAATAGGATATTTAGTGGATTGAATTAAAATTCATACTGTGGGAAATCAGAATCGTAATATGGAATAAAATCAAAACATTAGAGTGCATTTAGTTTTAGTTGTTGTTTTT